TTAATTAAAATAATTCTAAAGGATCCTTTTAACCTTTCTTGTAGTTAATAATTACAATAATTGATTTAACTAAAAACAGAAAATTAAAGGTTAATATTACACTAGATGTCATTAGTATATAGCAACAATAATGTAGTTTAGGAATATTTTACTTTTACATTCATATCCAATTGATATATTTATGTATTACAATTTTTTCTACTTGATATTATACAATAAGGAAAAAAAAAATATAAGTAAGGATTAAATTACTTATTTATAAAATTATTTTGATGTTATGTTATATAAAGTTGTAATTTAATAAAAATTTCTTATTTTTAAATACTATTGAATAAAAATTAATTTAAATATAATGTATATTATTTTTATACAATATAATAAAAACTACATAAATACTTTAAATAATTTCTAAAAATAAATATAAAAATTTAGAGTTAAAATATTATCGTCATAAGGTATAAAAATAAGCTACGTACGTACATACGTACATACATACATACTGATAGGCACGTACATACAGTATAAAAAAAAAAAATTGATATTTTTATCATAAATTTTTTTTAAATAACAAATCAAGATTGATTTAAATTAAATATTTAGTTATTTATTTATTCAGTGGTGGGCTGATCCGGGATAATCAAAATTTGAACATATTGATTGGCGCAAATAAGAGAATGCAAAATTATCCGGGGGGTACAATAGACACAATCGAGAGGGGATATTTATCAAAGACCAACATTTTAATAATCTTTTAGCGTTAGTTAAAAACACATAAATAAGAAATAAGTGATTTAAACATAAAACATAAAAATTGCATAATATTGTAATATTGCAGATCGGATGAATCAGATATTGAAAATAAATAATAACGTTTTAACGGTAACTACAGCGATATCGGTAGCGGTAGTGGTAATGGTAGTGGTAATGGTAGTATATAGTATCGGTATGACGAATAGCATCACGTGAATATAATTATTACCTAATAATGACACGAAGGGCAATTTTTGTCATTTTGAACGACTATAGATAACCATTGAAGAAAAGCAAAATTGCATTAATTGTATATTGACAATAGAAACATAAAATGGTACGAATAACTTTAAACAAAGAGTAAAGGTTTCACTAAAGAATTTTTATAGAGGATTGAACAAATATAAAACAGGTTTTGTTATCGGAGTTATCCGGGATCAAGCCAAATAAGTGAAAGGCATTAAAGGTAAAAAAGGGCTACTTCAAGGACAATCAAATCATGTGATTGGAAAAGGATTAATTTGAACAATCAAATTTATACAAATAAAAAAAAACCTGAAACACGTTTATTTATTCGGATATTTGATTCATCACGCTTAGCCTGCGTTAGCACTACAATCAACTACCACTAGCACTACAGCACTACAGCATTATGGATGATTGAAAGGGATAATCAGACTACAGTTGTGTAAAACTATAGTTGTGTATAATTGCGTAAAATCGCAGTTGTGAGTGATGATGAGCAATTATACATAATAATTATAATAACTATCGGGGATTATGTTGAAATCGGATGATGACTTATTTTATATGAAAAGATTTTTAAAAGTTTTTTGAGGCGTTTTTTTTAAAGTTAGCGTTAGGTTAAGGTTATAATAGAAGAGTATAGGTACGTACAGTACATGGATTACAGTACATGGATTTTAGTAGGGTTTATATATTCAAATCTAGACTTATATTTCATCAAATTTCAGAATCATCCGATTTCGATCCTCAACAAGAATTATAAAAATTATAAAAAAAATATGATTATTAACGATAATGAATATCAAATATTGATATCGGAGGTAGAAGCAACATTTATATTTTTGATAAGATAGTACGAAATTAGACGAATAAGAATTCAAATCGAGACAACATTTTTGAAAATAATTTGAGCACGTGATTAAAGCTCACGTTATTGAATACAATGTATGTATGTACGCATATATAGGTTAGAATTACGTAAACACAATTCACAAATTTTCAGAAAATGGAAATTGAGAAAAATAATAATGGAGATAATCTCATCTCTGACTCATTCAAACTCAATCTTCAACAAAAAAAATTATAGCCGTGACAAATTTTGACTATTTATACTATTTATATCGATTTATTTCATTCAAAATATTATCTTAGTGCACCATTTATATCCTTATTTTAAAGGAATTTTACGAAAACATTTTATTACCTAAAACATTTATCCAGAAGAATTGACTAATACAAATCAGGGTTCATAAAAGTTCATATAGGCACATAAAAAGATTATCACGTAATTAAAAACAAAGAGGAAGGAAACATAGATCTAAAACCTGCCAAAATAAAATTTCACACATTAAGTTATATTCATTTGGATTATAGTTTAAATATTGAAAACTGAAACGAAAAAAAAAAAAAAAAAAGATTATTAAAATCTTTGGTTTAGAAGAAACTATTTTTTAAATAAATAAAATACATAAATTACAAATAAATACATAGGTTAATACTTTACTGCTTTAAATATAGAAATTAAAATTGAGGGCTTGACAAGATGATGATTCCATAATAGTCAAATATTTACTTAAATTGAATAAAAATTGATACAGATAAATTGACGGGTTGAAAAAGAACCAGGCGTGTGAACCCTTCAACCTTCAATAACGATGGAATAATGATAGATTAAAAAATTTCATAATCAAAATTACAGGATTTGAACATGTTACTGCAGAGTCACATGGACATGGGAAAAAAATAGCAACGGTATTAATAAAAAGTATTTAAAAAGGAGTATTTAAAAAAAGAGTATTTAAAAAGAGTATTTAAAAAGAGTATTTAAAAAAAGTATTTAAAAAGAGTATGTATTAAAATTAGAGCATTAAAAAAAAAGTTGAAAGTATTTAAACAGAATATTAACGCTAAACGAATAGACAGACAAACAGACAAACAAAATAATAATAGTAAAACATAATGTATAATGATAAATGGAGCGGGAAATCAGACGGGTTTTGGCGGGCCAAGTTCAGGGCTGTGTGGATAAAAGAAAAAAGGTGGCACCACCCAAAGTTGCCAAGTGTGAATCATCTAGTGATATCATTAATTATAAATATTTAACGTTTTTGATGATAAATTGTTAATTAAAAATGCATGATCTTAACCAGACCCAGACCATTGAGTAACAAACTTGCAGCTCATGACGTAATGAACCTGATTCGGAACATTTTTGCCGGTTTATATTACGGATCGTCAAAAGTTCAAAGTTTAATTAAATCTTAAATGATCTACTTCATTCATTTATTAATAGGGAGTGAGCATACAGAAATGGCCAAGATTGACTGATTTTTTTTTTTTGAAGGCGGTTCAATAAGAAATCAATATCGTTTTTATATGATTTGAAATAACGGGGGTGACCGATGATTGAAGGATTTGTGATTTTGTGATGTGAGGCAGATAGTATTTGTGGATAGTATTCGCAGATAGTATTCGCAGATAGTATTTGCGGATAGTATTTGCAGATAGTATTTGCAGATAGTATTTGCAGATAGTACTCGCACTAACACTAACACTACATAGCCACTAACACTACATAGCAGATAGTACTCGCACTAACACTAACATTACATAGCAGATAGTACTCGCACTAACATTAGCGTTAACATTAACACTAACACTAACCCTAACACTACATATATATCGATATAGTTTTAGCCACGTCACATAAAACAATTATGTACAGAGGTTACGTGTTAAAAAGGTATTTGTAGCACAAATGGAAAGAAACATAGTTGACAAGTGAGCCTACGTTAACAAGGTTAAATATTAAGGCAGGATGTGGGGTAAAATATTCTACGTATCTAATACGTACGTACGTAGTTAATAGTCAGAATAATTAGTTAGAATAGTCAAGTAGGCAAGTACGGCAAGTACGGCAAGTATGGACGTATGTATGTAATTCAGGCACAAATATCAGGCACATAATAATTAATAATAATTAATACGCATAAATTTTAATAATAACTAGTAAAAGCAAAATGGTAAAACACAACATCTGTACGCACATGTATATTGTACTACTCCTAACATCAGATATGGGGACGATAGATTACGCCCTTCTAGACCGGTTCTGGTAAAATTTTCCCGTTGTACCGTTCTGCTAATGTACGACACTTATCATAATCCTTAATATGCTTTGTCTTACAATTTTTTTTTTGATTTGTTTTTTTTATATGTAATAATAGGTGATCGACAAAGGCATCCCCTAATCATCACAAAATAGCATAAAATAAACATAAACTATTGTATATATTATATAATATTATAAAATATTATAATAATATATATTGATATATTGATATATTGTATTGTAATTCAAATAATTGTATATACGTACTCTATATTCATTGTATAAAATTTATTTATTTATATAATAATAATCAATCTAATTTAAAAAAAAAGTATATCAGTAGCTCGAAAATCCCCACATCCCCCGCTTTTATTTTTTCAAATTTCAAATGTTTATTTTTCTATAGTTTCGCTCTCGCTTGGTGAAAGAATATTACCAAAAAATAAAATTAAAAAAAAAATCTTTTTTTTCTTTTTCCTTAGTCGCATTATCGTTATCTGTTAAAGCGTCTATTATAAAACATCTTTATCCATTGTCCTTTATCTTTTTGCTCTGGTCCCTATTCTTCACACCGAGCGTTAAAACTCAAACAAAGTCAGAGTTCGAAACTTACAAAAATTATAAAAAATACATACTTTGAAAAATGGATCTTGACTGGTGTCTTACTTGCTCTCAACACACTTCGGTAAGTTTAATTACTCTAATTATAAATTATAGTTGCTATATATCTTTTATTATATATATAATTTTATTACTATATATATAATTACTATGTATAATTACTGTATGATTACTGGATAATTCATATATTCGTAATACATTTACATCGATATCTATTCGATATAATAATAATAATAATCATATTAATCGAAATAACAATTATATTATTGTATTAGGGTAACATATATTGCTCTGAAGAATGTCGCAATCTAGACATAAAACTATCAGCAAAAGCTGTTTTATCTTCACAATACCCTTACTCTTTATATACTAAGCCATATTCCTCATCTTCAATTCCCTCGTCATCATCTTCGTATTACTCTCCGTCTTCCTCTGTTTACAATCTACGTCTGACGCCAAGAGCATCCGCAACTTCTTCATCAGAACCATCACCATCATCATCTCCACCATCACCAGCAAATACTTTGCTCCTCACTGCACGTCAATCGTGGACTCGTGGTAATGGCAATAATTATCCGTCTGAACGCTGGGGTAACGGGTGCCAATGATGACTTGATTTGAGGATTAAGTAATTAAATTGTTGAGGCTCACTTTTTTTGGCTCTTTTTTTTTGCAAAGCCAGCTGCATATTATGAACCTTTAAAAAAAAAAACAATCATTACATTATTTCCCACCTCTTTTCACTCAAAATTATATATCTATATATATATAAAACATATATATATATAAAAAAAAACATTTACTCAAAGGAAAAGAAAAAGGAAAAAAAAACTATACGATTTCTTAAATAAAATTAGTTTTTTTTATTTTTTTTTTTTTTTTATATTTGTACAATACAATAAGATAAATTCACAAAAAAAAAAACAAAAAAAAAAAGGAAAAAAAAAAACAAAAATTAATTGAGCCGAGAAAGTAGATTCCTCATTTTTATATATATGTATGTATGTATGTCTAAAAAAAATTGTATGTAGGGATGGGTTCAAAAGAAAAAAAAACGAGACGTTAAATATATAACGTTTTGTGTTAAATTGTTGATAACACTCATCAAACAATAAAATTCTTGTATGTTTGTATAAAATTTTTTTCCTCCTCTCAAATTATAAGAGTTTTTCAAACTTTAGTATTTCATATTTCGCATTTTTCGCGTTTGGGACACGTCAACAAAATAAAAAATATTTAACCAATCAGTTTTTTAATTTATCAGTTTTTATTAGTTTCATTTAATTTTATTACTTCGATAACACTATATAATTCTATAACTCTATACGTATAACTCTATAACTCTATACGTATACGTAACTCTACTCTAAAAATCTATACCTTTATATTACCTTTATATTGTTCTGTAATTGCTACACGAATTATCGCTATAGTAAACATTAATTGCTAGAATATTCTAATGGTGAAACTTGATAAATTGGTCATTTTCATTCCGATAAGTGACACAAGTTCTTTTTTAGGTAAACCTTGCACAATACGTGCTATTAATGCTAACCATATCGATACGTTGTTAATTATCACTTTTTTAACCGGAATTAACCACATTAACCACATTAACCACATAAGTAGGAAGTTGGCACATAAGTTGGAATTAACCACATAAGTAGGAACACACGAAACCTGCATATTAACTTCCATATTAACTTCCTCAATAAACTTAACTTATCAAGATTGAAACAAAAGAAAAGAACTCCTGCTTAATCCTACTTGATCCTACTTTATATTTTGTTCCGACTTTTTTAATTTTCTAAACTTGGAAAAAAATACCGGGTTATCTAAAGTCGATCATATCAAACTTTAATTCTTCTTCATCGTATGTTTCTTGATCAGGTTTCAGGTTTCTTTTTTCTTAGTATTAGATTGACATGATCTTCGACATCGCGCCTATGCTGATGACATGTTGGGTGATTCAATCCCAATTCATGCAATGCACGTTATTCATCCGCTTTGCATTTATTCTTCTCAATTTAGTATAACGAACAAGTTTGCGAACAAGTTATAATTATCTCATCTCTCATTTTTTTTACGTTAACGTTAAATATTTTTTATATTTAGTTTTATATTTTTTTTATTTTTATTTTTATATATATCTTTTTTTTTGCCCAATCATTTTTTTAAACGTTAATCATTTTTTTAAACGTCAATCGTTTTTTTATAACGTCAATCGTTTTTTTTTATAACGTCAATTGTTTTTTTTATAACGTCAATCGTTTTTTTTATAACGCCAATCATATTTTTATAATGTCAATCATTTTTTTTAACATTTTTTAACAATCGCTATTTATTATTGTTCAGGTAACAATCGGAAATAATTATTGGCTTTTTTACAATCAAAAAATCTTGAAATTTCAAATTCTCTAAATTTTTGTAATACTTGAACTCCCCTATTCAAAAATTTTAATTTTTTTAAAGTTTCCTAAACCTGCAAGAACTTAAAATCTGTGGTCATGCCTCTTTATACGTGGGAAGAAAATTCTTCCTTAGTTCATTCACGATCCTCTCCTTACATAATATAAACTTTTCCCACAATCAACTTTAATCACTTTAGTCACTTTGGTGTAATTGTTAAATACTTATTATTGTAAGTATTATTGTAATGTGACTTAAATTCTCCTTTCTAACCTTTCTAACAAACCCACATAGTTTATTTTATTAGATCTATGCGTTCGAAATGAATTGATGTTTTATTATTATCTGAATAATCATCTGAATAATAATGTTAATTGTTCTTATAAAATTTCGTGAGTATGAAGATATGGATTGCCAAATTTTACTTATTCATTCAACCTTTCTTTATATAATCAATGCATGCGCACAAGACATTTCCGCATAGCGATAGTTCTCCACTCACTAAATGGTATGAAATGCGTGCTCCCCAAAAAAAAATTTTTTCTCCCAAAAAAAAAAAAAAAATTTCAAGTTCTCAATTCTTTTAACTACCTGTCAATGACCCTTCCTTTAATGTTTTCTTTCAATAATTCATTAATAATCTTTTGTTTTGAATTCAACTAGATCTAATACTTGCTTGAAATATACTTGGAAAGTACTTGGAATGTACTTGAAATGTTCATATAAACTTCGTAATTATACATACTGTACGTACGTACGTATAAACTTTTTGTTATATCGATATCTGATATAAAAAAATCATTATTATTTATTATTTTTTTGGTATTTCCTTAACTGGTTTTTTTTTTATTCTTCATTAACGTGATCATGCATAAACGCGTTTACACACGTATGTACACAACATATTTATTCACTTTCAAGATCCTATCATAATTTATGTGCTGACCTAAATTGTGAAACTCTATAATTTCTTTTCATCTATAAAAAATAGCAGTCATGTCGATGAAAAATAGTCCCAATATCTTTCATAAGATTACTTTGTTATCATCATTGTCTAATAATCAATGTAAAAAAAATAAAATAAAAAGCGTTGCTTTCAAATAACATTTATGCTTGCGGGCGTATCTTACAATTCATCTATTGTACACGGAACCGTGCGTGCTCCAAGTGCATATCTTGCAATTCTCCAAATCAAGTATTAGAAGTTGTCAATCGATTTCTCTTACATTTAAAAAAAACCACATATATTTCAATATCTTTTATACATACGTAAGTTACGTACCCGAATTTGTATAAATACTGACTAGCCTTTTTTTCTTGGTATATATTATGTAATATTTTATTGGCGCTTGAATATAAAAAAAAAATTTTTTTTTTTCCTTTGAGAATACTTTTTTTTTTTATTTGGGTATATTGTTTCAACTTTACAATTTAATTAAATAAATTTTATTAAATTCTTGAATTAAATTGAATTGAATTGAATTTACCCACCACATTGTTTATTATCTGAGTAACATTTAAAGTTGCTAGAAAGGTAAAATTATGTAATTTCTTAAAGTTTTTTTTCAAATACATAGCGATAGAGATAGTGATAGAGATAGTGATAGCAAAAAAAAAAAATAAAAGTCAATTGTAACGTATATTGTATCGGTATTACGTACAACCATTCATTCATTCATTCATTCAGGATTTTCGAATTTTTGTTAGATTTTTGAACTTTAATAAATTAATACGTACCGGTACGTAAAATAGCATTATTCCTATATTGTTTTTGTTACCAATTTTTACTGTACAATATTTCCGTATTTGACTTTGTTAATATTATTATGAATTCTGTGATTATGAATTCTGTGATTATGAATTCTATAGTTGCTAATATTAATACAGTATAACTTATTAATAACGTTAATACAGTTCATTATATTTTAGAAAATTACAGCAGAATATTAAACACGGATATGATACAATATAATGTAAAAGTTAGGGTCAGGGTCAAAGTGTAAATTATATTAAAATTTCATAAAGATTTGTTTTGATTTATTGATATGTACCCGTGTTTCATACACTGGTGTACGAATAGAAATTGTCTAGATTTTTTATCTTAGGGATTTTTATTTGCATTTGCATAATAGTACAAATGTATTATTCAATGCTTTACTATATCTTGTCTATAAAACATATAATTATTTTATAATATTTTATATATAATACATTATTAATCTTATTTTATAAGCTTGAATATTAAATCATTAAATAACTATATAGAGAGGTTTATTGCCAAAAGTGATTCAGGTCAATTAATCCGATTTTAAAGTTTTATATAATATTTTTTAATTATTTATTAATTTTTTTCTAGTCAAATTTGTTTAAATGTTTAAATCATATTAATATATATATTTTTTTAAAGTTAAAAGTTTCTGTTTTTGAAAAACAATGTTTTTATTCAAGTTACATAAGCACAAATACATTCAAAAGCTTATATATATATAAGTACATATGTATTTTTAATGTTTAATTTAAGTAATTTGCTTATATATTACTATACAAGTTTTATACTAAATAATATATTTTCAAATCAATTATGGTTTTGCTTATTTAAACTTTTTGCATATACAATATCTTTAAATTCAAATTTATTTAAAATATCTGATATATATTAATATCTTTAAGATTATTTTATTATTAATAAAAAATTTACTAAAATTTTTATATCTTATATATAACTAATTTAATTTTATATAATATACTATAATTAGGCAGTGTTGTACATTGGACGTGTTCACACTATGTAAAATGTCCAATGTTCAAGATTGTCCAAAATCGTCCAAGTCTATGTTCAAAGTTTAAATAATCAATAAAGTATATTAAAAATATATATAATTATATATTTTTTTAGGTGCTAGATTCATTTATAAAAAAATTAAAATATATTATTTTAATAAAATTTTGAATAATTTTAATTTAAAAAAATGTTCAAAAGTGTCCAAAAGTGTCCATGTGACAACACTAAATTAGGTTAATATTTACAATTACAACTATTTTTGTTAAACTGCTATATTATATTATTTTTATCTTTATAAAACTTATTTAAATTACAGAACTTATTTTTTTAATATTTTTTTTCATTATTTTCTATTAAGTTTTTTTACTTAATACCAATTAAACTTTTCAAACTACCAATTTAAATAGTCTAATAAATCTGTAATTAAACTTTTAGTATACTTTATATATATATTTTTAATAAGTTTTAATTTATTTTTTTTAATATTAAGATAACCTCTTTGGTTTTTTAACTTTATTAGTATATTTTAAAAATGTAGTTCTATAAAAAGCTATTGCAAAAAAAACATACAATTGGCCACTTATATAATTTTTTATATTAACTATTTAAGAAATTCATCTAATGTTTTCTATCAATTGTTATATCTAACACCTTTGCTTGGGTGTTTCATTTAAACTCTCTGAACCTGTTTTACGTTACTTTATCAAATTAAGTTTAAATTCTTTATATCAATTTTAAGACATTTTTATTCTTAAAATAAACCTATTGAAGCCTACTATATACTCATTTTTTACAATTAATTTGAATATCACTATAACAAAACTAATATTTGCAGTCAGAATTAACTATTAAACTACTATGTTCTTATAGAGTTCATTCAGACTCCAGTACCTATTTTATAGTATATTTCTAATACTTTAGTATACTTTTTTGTTTCTTTTATCAAACTCTTAATTTAAATAATCTGTATAAAACTATGATCAGTTTATCAGTATATTAGATCAGCCTAATATTCGTTTTTTTTGGTTTAATCTAATAATCTAATTAGTAATATCTCTAAAACTTTTAACTTAAAGGTCCTTGCTTATCTAGCTACTTTAGCATTGATATTTGTTATCTAGATTTAGTTTTTATAGTAATACTATCAAAAATTTATATTATCTCTTTATTTAGATTTTTTCAAATAAGTTTTTTGTTCTATAATTTCTACAGATTTACATAGTCACAAGAACTTATCTTGAGTTTGTACTGTCTGATACTGGTTTGCATTCCTTTGTATAACAAGTTATACAAATGCTTTATGACCTGCCAATCATACTAATACAATTATAATTATAGATATCTTAATCTAATCATTAGGAACAATTGCTATAATATCAGATTATATAAGTGTTTATCCAAATTTTCATTATTAATAAGATTTAAACATTCAACCTACTACTTAAAAGGTTAACAATCTGATCACTATACTAGATTATTATATTTCTTTAATAAGTTTTAATATTTTAATTAGTATATATATATATATATATTTATTTTTTTTATTTTTTTTTTAAAATAATTTCTTTGGTTTTTAATTTTTATTAATAATTTTTTTAGTAATATAATTTTATAAATTATTACAAAAAGAGTGTATAATTAGTTATATATATAACTTTTTAATATTACCTATTTAAAAAGATTGACTAAAAATAAGAAATGTGGCAATCTAATGAAATGAATGAGTTGTCAACCTTCAAGTAGCAGGTCTAGAGTTTAAATCTTAGTAATGATAAAAATTTGTAATTCTTTCTGTATTATGGCTAACTGTCTTTCATAATTGGTTGGAATAAAATACCTGTAACCCATGTTATACTAGCATAACTGGAAGGTTTAGGCACTCATACAACATTGTATGCAGTAACACAAACTGGTACCAGGCAGTATGAATCCAAGATAAGTCCTTAGGCCATATAAATCATAGAAACTAGGTAGGAAAATAGAAGCCTACTTGAAAGACCTGAGTAGAAAGATAATCTGAACTTTTGACAATGTTACTATAAAGACTAGATTTATAAAATGAAGCTAGAACTTGTAAAACTAGACAAATATATTAGTCTTTGAGAAGAGACCAGATGAACCAACCAGACCACTAAAATTTCCAAGTTCCAGAAAAAAAGGATACATACCAGCAAACATATAAACCAGAATTGTATAGTTTTGATCTACCTTTCCAAACTATCTAAAATGACAGTTTGTTAGAATTTGAATTGAATATCAAAGTAGTAAAGATATGTTGTAAAGTTAGTATCAGAGTTGAGATGAACTCTATAAGAGCATAGTGGTTTAATGGTACATCTTGACTGCCAGTATTGGTCTTGGTTATAGTGATACCAAGTTAGCTATAAGAATAGGATACAGAAGATTCTGAAAGGTTTAGTACAAGGTCAAAGGTTCTTCATATGAGTGAACTGCTTTAAAGACTTAGTAGTTATAGTATATTTTCACTGGTATCAGCCAGAGTTATTGGTAGGCAGAGGTAGATAAATAGATATAAAAACAAAGTGGTTAAATAAAGAACCTACAAGCAGGTTTCAGGTATGGCAGCTAGTGTAGAACCTTCAAATAGACTACTTAAATCAGACAATGATTAAAGTTGTATAAGTGGCTAGTTATACACTCTTTTTATGATTGCCTTTTGTGATTGTAATGCAATTATTAGCCAAACATACTATTAATAAAATCCTGGATTGCAAGTACTTATCTTAATATTTAAAAAAAAAAGTTTGACTAAAAATTTTCTACTAATTGCTATATCTAATATTCTTACTTAAATATTTTATTTTAAATCCTCTGTATTTGCAATTTGTATCAATATTACTAGGTTATATACAAGTTAATATTTTAAACTTAAGATTATTTTATCTTTAAAATAAATTTTTTAGAGTTTTTTGTACTTATTTTTACAGTTAATCTAATATTGCTATGACAAAATTAATATTTGTAATTAGAACTAGATATTAAATTATTATGCTTTTGTAAAGTTTATTTAAATCTTATAATAAAATTTAAAAATTTATATTTGTGTTATAGCAAACTGTTTCTTAATAATTAGTTGAATTGGCATATCTGTAACTTTGTTATATTATTTAAATGAAAGTTTAAAACATTTATATAAAATGTAATATTACATATATATAGAAAAAAGTTAATAACTAGTGTCATATAAGGCTTTAGTACAAACTTATAATAAAATTATTAGATGCAGTAAACTAAAAAACCAAAAAGTCAAAAGTCTATATTTTTAAATAAAAAAATAATATAAACTTTTAATTATATAGTTAAGTTTATAAAAAAATAAGCAGATAAACTAAATAAAAAAGCATATAACCAACCAGACTACTAAAATTACTAAAAGAAAAAAATACATATATATAGTATACTATATTGAGCTATCTGAATTGAGTTCTGTTAGTTTTGAATAATAATTAATAAGAAATAATGATGAGGACATTGCAATAATAGATACTGGAGTTCTAATAAACTTTACAAGAATAAAAATAGTATAACATAATAGTTAAACAAATAACCAACTGCAAGTATTAGACAACTATAGCAAGTTAAACAAATAACCCTGTAACTGCAAGTATTAGACACTATAGCAAGTTATATAAAACTAAATTAGCTGTATATAAGACACAAAAGGTCCTAGCAAGTTTTTTGTTAAAAATAAAG